CGCCCCATGAGTCATGTTAGGAGGTTTTGTTAAAGGTCAAGATCCAACACACGAAGAGGAATGTGTTCTCTCTCTCTCTCTCTCTCTCTCCACCAACCATAAGTGACTGAGGCTTGAATACCTGTAAAACAAGTTATCATGTACCACTATCACTACCACCATCATCACTACCACCATCACCACTACCACCATCACCACTACCACCATCATCACTACCATCACCATCACACGGAAGGGAAAAACCCGCAGGAGATGAATGAAGAATGACGGAACAAAGTAGTTGAATCATACGAGGCCTTCTACCATAACTAAGACTACCACCACTACTACCATTACCACCACTACTATCACCATCACCACTACCACCACTACCATCAACGCCCCTACCACCAACTTCACCCCCACCATCACCACCATTAATTAACACTCTCACTTCCATCACCGCACTAACTACCACCACCATCACTACTACCACCACCGCCACGCTCACCACCACCACCACCACCACCACCACCACCCAACAACTCCCACCTAAAATATTTCATCAACTCTGACAAAATTTCTGATAATCAATACACTACCGCCTTGGCATTTATTTCGCTCGTATGTGTGTACCGGGCGAACCTGAACGCCAAGCCAGGAATTCATGTAAGTAACGGTGTTGGAGATAAACAAACAAACGTGACCTTCCAGAGTGGGGAAAAAAGAAAGTAAGGAGAGAGAGATAGGAAGAAGAAAGTGTGGGTGAGAATCAGCCACTGTGACTTAACGTGATGGTGGAGGCTTGACCAACAGGTGGGTGGCCTCGACACTGAACCTGCCTCTCTCTCTCCTTCCCTTCCTCTCCCACCACCAGCAGGAGGAGGAGCAGAAGGAGGGCAACGAGAAGGGAGAGGAGGAGGAGGAGGAGGCAAATGACAAGGAGAGGAGGAGGAGGAGGGGAGGAGGAGGAGGGTACCATGGAGAGGAGGAGGAGGAGGAAGGCAACGACAAGGGAGAGGAGGAGGAGGAGGAACAGTGAGAGGAGGGAGAGAGGAAGGCAACGACAAGGAGAGGACGAGCAGGACAAGGAAGTACACTTAATGTTGCTTCATTAGACAGGTGGCATTCCAGGAAAAAATGGAGTGAATGATTATGGGAGACAGTAGCTGGTGTGTGTGTGCAGGGGAGCAAGGGGTGACACACACACACACACACACACACACACCACACACACACACACACACACACACACACACACACGACAGACGGCGCCTATACTCACACGATAACTAACCACTGGAACGGAAGTGCATTGTCCACCTTCCTTGTTCACCTCAGTGTAAAAAGTACAAGCCAATGTCCCTGGGAGCAACACTGTCCACATACCTTCACTCGGACACATACCTGAGGCGTGACTGTTGGCCGGAGTACCTTCTTATGGCGGCTGTTACTATAATACTATAAATGATCACTACACCACCACAGTCCTCCTTTACCTGGCAACAGTACACAACCATTACAGGTGTGGTTACTGCCGGTCACCGAGGAGGCAGCAGATGAAAAGATACAACTCTAGCCCCCTACTCAGCTGTAAATGGGTACTAAATTAACCTATGGTAATTTAACAGTGGTGGAGGATAGTGCCGACCCTAACGCTGCCTCCATGAATACAGTAAAATAAGGTTTAGTTGGCAGTGTACTATATCCTCACTGCCCTTAAGTCCCGCCAGGTGTACGGGATCTACTTACATACCTTCACCAGAATAAGATGGCTGGGTAAAGCTACAAACACCTTCATACTGACTACATGAAGCTCTGTTATTACCGTCATACGTCCTCCTGAACTCTAGTAGAGGTCTATATCATTAAGGTCAGAGTTATAATGACCAACTATGCTCCTCATACAAAAGACTTACTTGTGTTGAATAATTATGAGTGTTAACAGTACGGCTATAATCATGATGTATTACCCAGTACATTACGTGAAATAGCACAAATGAACCTTTGAAGTTACAACACGAAATTATCAGAGAAATAACAAGTCTTTGATGAGAGAGTTAACTATGACACAGAGGCCAGGAGGCAGCATCAAAGTAGTTGTTTCCAGCTCAACAAGACCAGCTGACCGTTCACCTTAACCCTCCCGTCCACTCATGCATGATGAACACCTTGAGCATCGCCCTCATTAACGTAGGATGCTCAGGTGAGTTCATGAAGCGGTAGACTACAGCACAACAGCCACCATGAACCTCGATGACATGGATTTCACGCCTGAAAACCCTTACAAACACACACATCAACCTCATCAAGCTGCTCTACCAATAAAAATGTTTTATACACAGGCGTCAACATCAGACCATTGAAGTATTCGTGTTTCGAGTTACATTACTTGGCAGTTTACCATCCTGAAGGTCAGCAGGGTGAGGGAGGGAGTCCAGAAGCGTCAACAACACTCATGAGTTAGGAAAAATATCAATACTACTTCTAATGATGAGAGAAAATTGATAAAACCACCACTAACTATACTAGATCACTGGATTACACTGATTTAATTACTCAACCTGGCGAAATCTGACACGGTGTACAAGAGCTGGGTCACGCTGCACTTTACTACCCAGTACTTAAGGGGTAATTTCTTCTTGTGCCAGTTTACAAAATAAATAAATAATGTTCTATGAATATCAGTGTGTAGAGAGAACAACAGTGTGCTCGGTAACCTGACGAACTCTCTCAAAAAAATCTAACTCATGTAAACATTGTAGTAGCGACCATCGAGGCAAAACACTCCCCCGACAAACATGCACTGTACTGTACCATCAATGTCAAGGTTCATCAGGAGTTGAAAATCCCTCGATGTTTACCCTAATTGTTTTATCCAAGTCACCTCATAACCGAGATTGTGAGTGACTGACTGTCGTAGATTTATTTTATATATTCAAGTTAAATATAGCTAATAAGCCAAAGGAAATATTGGTTCTTAAAACAAATATGACAGTAACAGCCTCGAGACACAACCATCGTTTACACTCTTCAACACACACACACACACACACACACACACACACACACATCCTATCTTGAGTAAGCCATCAATTTCCTGCAGCTAGTGTGAATATTTCCTGCATCCTAAACCATCCCTCACGTGGTGCATTACAATACAAACTTCCTTCACAACATTTACTGACAGACACTCACACTCGATCATACCTCCTGGCGCCCTCCTCAACACTCTCACCTCACACATAACTGTTACCCTTGGCTGTAAACTTCCTCCCCCTACACATCTTGAAGGACCACCACACTATTACACTTGAAGACCCTGAGAGCTTACTTCCCCTCTCCCCTTTGATCCTGTGACGTAAACCCAACCTACTAAACGACCCACTGTCACCATGTACCCGACCATATACGGGTAAGAGAATCTTGGATACGATCTTTCTCCTTATTCCACCGTCTGCAAGATTAGAGGCGTGAATCCACCTCCTTAATGTGACTCTCTTGTGAAGTAATCTACTACACATATTCGTCAGCCTCGAAAAATGATAAGATATTTGTCTGAGTGTTAAAGTTTTCTTCCTATCATAATTCACTTTTTTTTTTAGAGTAGATCGGATAGAGATATGGTGGATTATATTTCTAAACAGGCTACTCCTTCCCTTCATCACTGTCATCGTCACCATCACTGTCATCGTCACCATCACTAGTCATCGTCACCATCACTAGTCATCGTCACCATCACTGTCATCGTCACCATCACTGTCACCATCACTAGTCATCGTCACCATTACTAGTCATCGTCACCATCACTGTCATCGTCACCATCACTGTCATCGTCACCATCACTGTCATCGTCACCATCACCGTCATCGTCACCATCATTGTCAATACCATCACCATAACCACCATAACCAACACCGTCACCACCGTCATCGTCACCACCTTCACCGTCATCGTCACCGTCACCGTCACCACCAGTCGTCAATGTCACCATCACCGTCATCGCCACCATCACCGTCATTGTCACCACTGATTCCATCGTCACCATCACTGTCATCGTCATCACCGTCAATGTCACCCATCACCGCCATCGTCACCATCACCGCCATCGTCACCATCACCGTCATCGTCACCAACTGCTATCGCCCACTGTCATCGTCACCATCATCAGTCATCGTCACCGTCATCGTCACCACCGCTGTCATCGCCAACACCGTCATCGCCACCACCACTGTCATTGTCACCATCAATTATCACCGTCACCATCACCGTCACCGTCACCATAACCGTTATCGTCACCATCACCGCCATCGTCACCACCACCGTCATCGTCACCCATCATTGCCATCGTCACCATCACTGCTTCACCGTCACCATCACCGTCATCGCCAAATTAATCACCGTCATTGTCACCATCACCATTCATCGGTCACCATCACCGTTACACGTCACCATCACCGTCATCGTCACCATCACCGTCATCATCGTCACCATCACCGTCATCGTCACCACTGTCATCGTCACCATCACCGACATCGTCACCACCACCGCCATCGTCACCACTTCATCACCGTCATCGTCACCATAACCGTTATCGTCACCATCACCAGTCATCGTCACCATCACCGTCAACGTCACCATAACCGTCATCGTCACCATCACCAGTCATCGTCACCATCACCGTCATCGTCACCACCACCGTCATCGTCACCATCACTGTCATCGTCACCATAACCGTCAGTCGCCACCATCACCGTCATCGTCACCATAACTGTCATCGTCACCATAACTGTCATCGTTACCATCACTAGTCATCGTCACCATCACTGTCATCGTCACCATCACTGTCATCGTCACCATAACTGTCATCGCCACCATTACTGCCATCGTCACCACCATCACCACTAAAAACAGCAAAATCACCACCACCACCACCACCACCACCACTACCACTACCACCACCCTCGCCCGCTACTCGTCCCAGCAGGCAGCGGTGGGCGGCGTGTCGGTGTCCTCTGGGGCTGGGGCTTCAGTTGTTCCCGGAGTCTTGTGGACGCAGGACGTGGCCGGCGACCTCTTACCTGTACTATCACACTCACTGTAGAGGGACGTCCACACTCGCACTGCGCCACTCGTTCATTCTCGCACCGAAACCAACAACACCAAGAGCCACCAGTGGGAATATAGACCCAAGTTATTATCCAGTGAGACAAATGTTTCCTCCAATGAGACAAATAATGGTGCAAAAGTGAGAGACTAAAGAGGGGGAAGAGAGAGAGAGAGAGAACATTATCGTGGAGGAAAGGAGTATATGTGTGTGTGTCAGTGAGTGCGTGAAGGGTAGAGTGTATCGGTGAGTGCGTGGAGGGAGTGTGTTGATGAGTGCGTGGAGTTGGAGGTGACCATGACACTGAGGCAGAGAACGGTACTCGGCCTAGCCCTCTTGGCGGCCGCCCTCACACTCGCCACATCAGGTAAGTCACTCACCTGTAATCTCTTCTTCATTAACAGGTATCAAGCTTGTTATCATGTCAAGGAAGGTGTGTAAGGTGGAGGAGTGAAGACTGTAAACACCAGATTCTTCACCCCACTGTATAGAGACACCACACGCTAGGGCCAGTTAACTTTTGATTCCTGTGTAACTTATTTGTTATAAAGGTTAACACTGAAATAATGAACTGACCAAAACAAAAACATAAACAAAACAAAATTATGTATAACTTTCACTTGATTTACTCAGCAGTTATGACATACTAATTAGTTTCCGAAAAAAAAAAGTGAGAGCTAGTTACGTAAAGCATTACCTGGCCCCAAAGAACTCACTTCCGCGTTAAACAGGCACACATAGTTGTTTCAGTCTGCCTGAACTACCTTACCGACACACACACAGGTAAATCCCAAATTAGTTGTAGATACCCAAATTTCAGTCCCATTAATCGTGATTTTACAGAGCCACGGTCCAATACCTCGTTCATTCGTCAGAGTAATAAACCCGAGGCGTGTTTGTCAAGCTAGAGGCACACGTTACAACACCACATCATTTACTGTAGCTTTGTTAGGTCTTGTTTGGAAATGTATTGTGTAAAACTTTCTGATACTCAATTGAGAAACCGCTAGATTTTTTTTTTTACTTCTTTAGGCACCAAAAAGTTTCTCATCATTACTAGAGTGACACGTAAGGCTGTTTGAGCATTTGATATACACACGAGTTATAACAGTAATCTCCTCACCACCTACCTTGACCTCTTGCCACACACACACACACACCATCCGTCAATCACACGACACAGTAATAATTCAGTTCCTCCGGCAGCCGACATCTACAGTAAAAAATAAAACCCCACTACTGTACAGAGAAACTTATACAGTATTGAACGAAAACTTATCTTGTGTCTTCCAGAGTTACGAAATAAAGGAATTAAATCGTCACTTTATTCTTCGTTCGTCTCTCGTACTATCTATCCTTAGTCATAAATCGCAAAAATCCATCTCACTACATACACTACAAAAAGACGATATCTCTCTCACTACAAAAAAGACGATATCTCTCTCACTACAAAAAGACGATATCTCTCTCACTACAAAAAAGACGATATCTCTCTCACTACAAAAAGACGATATCTCTCTCACTACAAAAAGACGATATTTCTCTCACTACAAAAAGACGATATCTCTCTCACTACAAAAGACGATATCTCTCTCACTACAAAAGACGATATCTCTCTCACTACAAAAGACGATATTTCTCTCACTACAAAAGACGATATCTCTCACTACAAAAGACGATATTTCTCTCACTACAAAAAGACGACATCTCTCCTACAAAAAAGGGCGATATCTCTCACTACAAAAGGTGATATCTCTCACACAAAAGACGATATCTCTCTCACTACAAAAAGACGATATCTCTCACTACAAAAGACGATATCTCACTACAAAAGACGTATCTCTCTCACTACAAAAGACGATATCTCTCTCACTACAAAAGACGATATTTCTCACTACAAAGACGATATCTCTCTCACTACAAAAAAGACGATATCTCTCTCACTACAAAAAGACGATATCTCTCTCACTACAAAAAGACGATATCTCTCTCACTACAAAAAGACGATATCTCTCTCACTACAAAAAGACGACATCTCACACTACAAAAAGACGATATATCTCACTACAAAAAGAATAACTATCACATTACAAAAAAGACGATATCTATCTCACTACAAAAACACGATATATCTCGTTACAAAAAGAATAACTATCACATTACAAAAAAGACGATATCTATCTCACTACAAAAAGTTCCCCCAAATACGCAACACTCTTTCACAAACAATAACAACAGCAATAGTTCTTCGTTAAACAAAACCTAGTGGCCGTGTTAGTCACCACTCAGACACACACACACGTGCGTATCAAACTTAAATCGAATCAAACTACTACAAAAAAATAAATAAATTACTGTAATTCTCAAATGACCAAAAACCACTTTCAAATGTTAAAGTTTTCCATTGTTTTATGCAGATCACAGTACATTGTCTCAGAGGTGTGTTACCAAGGGATAAACTTCTCCCTGATAATGAGATTTTAATTGGTTTTAAAAATTGTAATCAGGGGAAGGAGGGAGTTGGGGGTTACTCTTAGTCAGACTCAATCAAACTGACTCACCAATACCTGACTCACCAACAATACCTGACTCACCAACAATAACTGACTCATCAACAATAACTGACTCATCAACAATAACTGACTCATCAACAATAACTGACTCACCAACAATACCTGACTCACCAACAATAACTGACTCATCAACAATAACTGACTCGCCAACAATAACTGACTTATCAACAATAACTGATTCATCAACAATAACTGACTCATCAACAATAACTGACTCGCCAACAATAACTGACTCGCCAACAATAACTGACTCACCAACAATAGCTGACTCTTCAACAATAACTGACTTATCAACAATAACTGACTCACCAACAATAGCTGACTCACCAACAATAACTGACTCACCAACAATAACTGACTCACCAACAATAACTGACTCATCAACAATAACTGACAATCTGAATCAACAATAACTGACTCGCCAACAATAACTGACTTATCAACAATAACTGACTCGCCAACAATAACTGACTCACCAACAATAACTGACTCACCAATACCTGACTCGCCAACAATAACTGACTCACCAACAATAACTGACTCAACAACAATCACTGACTCAACAACAATAACTGACTCACCAACAATAACTGACTCACCAACGCTGACTTTCTTTATGTCTCTTGTGATACCATTCAGGGTGAGAGAGAGAGAGAGACACAGAGGGGGTAGGGGAGGGGGGGGGTAGGCCAGGGCCGGGGGGGCAACAGAGGTTAGCCGGGCAGGAGTGAATGCCCTCTGTACCCCACGCCCGCCACCCAACCCTCCTCCTCCTCTCCTCTTCCCCATTATCCAAATCCTTCACCTACTACTCTTCATTCAGTCTTTCTCTCTCTCTCTCATCGTCCTTTCTTAATCATCTCTTTATATTCATCTCCTTCCTTTATCCATCTTCATATCAATTAACCTGTCTCTTCTCCACTGCTACTCCTATTCCTCCGTACATCACAATTATTTTTCTTTACACTCCTTCATTCATGACTTTCCTCCTCCCCTTTCTGTTTCTTCTCTTGCTTTCATTCCTTAACACTGTTCTACCGTACTAAAAATTAATAAGCAATAATAATAATATAATAAATAATAATAATAATAATAGTAAAAATTGTAATAAACAGACAAACAGACATACACAAATCAATGAAACAAAATCGAATTATAAAAACAAATTTATGGACGAAAGATTATACAGTAGGCAATGAGAGGAAGTCACACAAGGAACCTATCCAATGGAGTCGATTAATGGACGAACTTGGGATAAAGGAAGAACAATGATAGGAAGAGAAGGAGAAGGAAGAATAGGAAGAGAAGGGGGAGGAAGAACAAGGATGGAGGAGGAGATTAACTTGTACAAATGCTACATCTTTCCTGGAGCGAGAAAAGCCGACCCACCATGCAACCTCTTTAGAACCTACTCACCACCCGAGACACGCAGTAAAGCCAGGAGCCTCTGTCTTACACACACACACACACACACACACACACACACACACACACACACACACACACACACACCACCACCACCACCACCACACTTTTTACCTTAATTGGGAGTGAATTTTTTGAATGATATTACTGTACTGGGATTTCAAGTTTGTAGGTCTCTTTCTGTCTCTCGCGCTCTCTCTCTTTCTCTCTCTCATACTACTCTGACTTATCAATAAACTCAACTCATACCCAGGTAAGAGTGTCATTAAACCAGTACATAATAACAGAGGACCATTTATAGCAAGAACACGATGATAAAACCAGTTAGGTCAACACAGAGAGACGTCAGTGGCTGTTAGCATTTACCAGAGAGTGTCGCTGCTGAGCTGTGTATCACAAAACACACAGGTTCCTCATTATAGCCAAGTTAAGCCCCTTAGTGTATAATTATAATCAGTAATGCATTAAATAAACTCATAATGAATACGTATTACTCATCATCTTAACTATGAGTCTTGTTAAAGCTCATTCACCATTATGGAACAAGTGGAAAATTTTATCACCTTTAATGAAGTAATTCTTATCACAGCCATGACTCATTAGTGCTCACCTTTTAATTCACCTTTACCAAGTCCCACTGATCACCATAACGATTAGCAAGAACTCCCAGTCAATTAGTCAGTCAGTTAGTCAATCAGTCAGTTAGTTATTCATTCAGTCAGTCATTCATTCAGTCAGTCATTCATTTATTTAACCAGTTAGTCAGTCAGTCAGCCCCACAACACGTTATAACGAGAGGGACCAGACCTTTCACGACAATACCACACAATACCACACAATACCACCTAATAAAGGACTCTACACCGGCCATAAGCATCTGATGGTTAGGTCGGCTATTCTTGGTTTAATTGCCTTCCTGTTTACCACTGTATGTATACCAGTACGGTCTATGTACACTGTATACCTGCGTTGCATCTATACATGCTAAACCACGCATTATAATTATCAAAAGGTTTACCCTGACGAATGAGTGAGTATAATCAACACTCAGCTAAGGCGAGGGTCGTGATGGGGAACTGGTCCTACAAGTGTGTGTGTCGCTCACTCAAGACACTCGATACATTCCACAGCGGCTAAGGTCACCATGGAGGACACCTGGGCTACCTGACCCTCTCCTCTCTCACCCATCACTGTAACACCATACAACACCACATCCTGTATACTGCCTGTCATACTGTTCTTCTTTATCTATATCCATCATTATCTTTTATTTATGTTACTCCAGGCGGGTTTTAAGCTAAGATCTGAGTCCCCAAAATAAGGTAATGCTTATAATAGTAAAATAGTCAATGCGTAAAACAAACTCATA